ATGAGAAAATCTGCCTCTTCTCCACAGCCCTCAATTCAAGAAACCGTCCTTTTCCTTATCACACCATTCCATAACATAATTTTCAAACATGGGTATCCTCCCCACAAAAAAACTGAAGCAGTTTCCTTCGGCTCCAATGCGCCGCTCGCCCAGGGAGACGGAAGTGTTATATTCTCGGCGGTCCAGTCTGCATTCTGCAGCACAATTAAATTTGGCGGACCCCCATCGCACGACTGAACGATTCGTATTGTTGTGAGTGACTGTGACGACAGCAAATGAATTCACTGGTGGTTTCGTAATAATTAACAGGCGGCGCAGCCCAGTGCCTCTTACAATGAATTACAGTGGCGAATGCACTATTGCAGAGAAGAAATGGATTGAGCAGATGCCCAACCTCGCTGTATTATCAACTAAACATTAGATACGCTTTACATTTTAATCAGGCAATCATGGAAACAAACGACTTGCGAGTTGCGACCCTTCCGCCTTACATAACTCGGCAGAATGTCCCTGAGTCGGCTAATCTACACTGCATCTCTTCAAACCCTAAGTATTTTACAATTTACCACTCAGCTATGCAACAGGCTTATAATTCACTGCTAAAGTCTCAACTCCTTTTCCCCTATCATCTTTTTGGCACCGTCAATCGCCATCTGCGCTGCCCACTGTCCAGCAAATAATCCGGCCGTCTCCAGTCCTCTGGCAGGGGCTTCCAAACTCAAGCGAACTCGCCGAAGTTTCGCCATTCAATGCGCAGGATCTGTACAATTGAGTTTGAGAGCCTCTGGGTTGGCTCGGCGCGCCTGCGCTGCGCCGTTGGTCCGGCCAAGTACGCGAGTGACGTCATGCTATAAGCGTCATCCCCCGACCAAAGTCACCAATCAGAGCCCTAGAATCGACTTGTAGTTCCACACTTAGGTAACTCGCGTCCGGGCTCAGGATCCGGGATAGAGCCCTATTATCCACCACGAGCGTGAAAGGCCGCCCGTACAGGAACCGATGGAAGCGGGTTATCCCGAATGACACCGCCGCCGCCTCGCGCTCGACTTGTGGGTACTTCCTTTCTGTGGGCGTCAGCGTCCGTGACGCATACATCACCGGCCTCTCCGCCCCGTCCGGTGTCACGTGAACCAGCGCCGCGCCGACACCCACACTGCTGGCATCTGTCACGAGCCTCAGCGGCAGGTCCGGGTCATACCGCATCAACACCGGCGGGCTAGTCAGCATCCGTTTCACCTTCTCCACCGCCTTGGCGCACTGCTCTGTCCATGCCCACGGCACGCCCTTCTTGGTCAGCTGATAGAGCGGCGCCAGCACTGTCGACAGATCGGGCAGCAGACGCCCGAAGTAGGTGATGGAGCCCAGGAGCGACCTCAGTTGGCTGACGTCCGTCGGCTCCGGTGCCTGCAGCACTGCTGCTACACCGCCGTCAGTCGGTGCGATGCCCTCAGCCGTCACCTTCCACCCCAGGAACTCGACTTCTGGCACCGCCAGCTGGCATTTCTGCGCCGCCAGCCGCAGGCCCTGCCGCTCCAGTCTTCCGAGGATCTCGTCCAGCCGCTGCAGCAGCTGTTGCTCGTCCGCACCGAACACCAGTAGGTCATCCAGGTAACACCGGCATCCCTCCTGTCCTTCCAGGACCCGGTCCATGGCCTCCTGGAAGAGGGCACCGGAACTGGCGACCCCGAACGGCAGTCTCTTCATGACGAATTCGCCCTTGTGAGTGCTGACGGTCGTCATTGCTCGAGACTCCTCATCGAGCGGCATCTGCTGGTACGCATGCTTTAGGTCCAGCTTGCAGAACAGCTTGCCACTCACACCTGCGAACACATCTTCCGGCTTCGGCAGCGGGTGGTGCTTGACGATCAGCTGCGGGTTCACTGTGAGGTTGTAGCTCGCACAGAGCCTCACCCCGCCTCCCGGCTTCGGCACCGGAACCAGTGGCGTGCCCCAGCCTGTACTGGTTTCGGACGGGTCGACCTTTCTTGCTATCCCGTCTCTGACCCATCGGTCCAGCTCGGCCTCCACTTGCGGCAGCAGCGCACACGGTACGGGTCGCGGTGGTAGCCGCCGCGGCACCGCGTCCGGCTTTAGGGTCAGGTGCGCGCGCTGCTCCATCGTGCCGATGCCCCCTGCAAACACTGCTGCGTGCGCCGCCGTCACTGAGCTCAGCGTCCGCCCGCCGCTCACTTTGCTGGCCTCGCTGACCTGCAGCAGCGACCGCCAGTCCAGACGTATTTCACGCAGCCAGTCGCGCCCCAGCAGCGGGTGGTGTCGGAGCTGACCGCTGACAACCACGTTCAGCCGCTTCCGCTGGCCGCCATACTCCGCCTGCACGGTCGCCTCGCCGCGGACCGGCACCGGCTGACCCGTGAACGAGCGTAGCTGCATCTTGGACGGTCTCAGCTTCAGTCCCGGGATGCTGCCGTCCGCCACGATCGACACTGGTGACCCGGTGTCAACCAGCATCTCAGTCTCCCGGCCGTTGACAGACAGAGTTACCAGTGGCAGCCGGTCCTGGCTCGTCAGCTGCGCCACCGTCATCACGACATCCTCCTCCACGGACGCCACCTGTCCGATTCCTGGACAGTCCCGCTTCAGGTGTCCAGTTCTGCCACATTTGAAGCACCTCCTCTTCTCGAGCGGTCCGCCGCGTCTGCTGTCTCGCCGACCGCCGTCTGCTGGGCCGGGCGGGCGAGACACTCCGCGCTGCTGCACCGCTCCTGCCGCCGGAGGGTGCGCCCTCTCCGGCGCCGAGTCCGCCCTGGCCGTCGGACAGTCCCGCCGCCAGTGTCCCCGGCCTCCGCAGCCGAAGCACGAGCCCGGTCCCGGGCGCTCGGCCGGCCTGGCCGTCTCCGCCCGCCGCTGGCGTCTCACCACCTGGACTGCCTCCCCGTCCGTCACAGCCGGCACCGGCGCCCCTGACAACCGAGTCGTCAGGTCCATGACGTCCCGGTGGGCGCGTGCCGTCCGCCGGACATCCTCCAGGGTGAGGTCGTCGCCCTTCAGTGCCGCTTCCCTCACCAGCTTCCGCTGCAGCTCGCCTCGGCTGCCCAGGACGCAGCGGTCTCGCAGCTCCCGGTTCACCTGCGCCGGCTCGTAGCCGCAGCGCAGGATTTGGGTCCGTAGCCTGGCCAGGAACTCCTCCAGGCTTTCCTCCGGCTCCATTGTCATTCCTTGGAATTTCCCTCGTTCAGCCACGACGTTATTCCTTGGCACCAGGTACCGTACCAACTTCCTTTTTAGCCGGGTGAACTCGTCTTCCTCCGGTCCTTCTGCCTCCTCTTCCGGCAGGGAGTCGCTGACATCGGCTATGTCAGGCCCCACCAGGTGTAGCAGCACGGCGCACCGTCTGGTAGGCCCTTGGATGTCCATGGCGACCATGTAGCGCTCCAACGCTCGCAGCCATTTCTCGAAGTCCGTGCCTGCCCGGTACGGCCCCGCAGACACCAACTGCATGCCCGTTGGATCCATCACGCTGCCGTGCTCTCACCAGCGCGTCGTTCCTCCGGCCGGCCCGCCGCCGCTCCACCGGCCGGCCCGCCGCCGCTCCACCGGCCGGCCCGCCGCCGCTCCACCGGCCGGCCCGCCGCCGCTCCACCGGTCGGCCCGCCGCCGCTCCACCGGTCGGCCCGCCGCCGCTCCACCGGTCGGCCCGCCGCCGCTCCTCCGGCCGGCCCGCCGCCGCTCCACCGGTCGGCCCGCCGCCGCTCCACCGGTCGGCCCGCCGCCGCTCCACCGGTCGGCCCGCCGCCGCTCCACCGGTCGGCCCGCCGCCGCTCCACCGGTCGGCCCGCCGCCGCTCCACCGGTCGGCCCGCCGCCGCTCCACCGGTCGGCCCGCCGCCGCTCCACCGGTCGGCCCGCCGCCGCTCCACCGTCGGCTCGCTCCGGGCGTCACCGCTCACACCGGCTGGTCACCGCACAAGCCGGTCGGGCCCACCGCTCACGCCGGTCGGCCACCGCTCACGCCGACCGTCACCGCTCACCGCGCCGCCCTGCGCCCGTCTTGGCGCTGCCGGCTGCGGTTTCCCGCGCTTTACTCGACGGGGGCGTCACGTGGTAGTGACGTCACACGCACGTCACCGCGCGCGCATGCGCACTCTTCCCGAACCGCCCGGCCGCGCGCCAGCTTCCCGAAATTATCCGCTTGGGGACCAGGCACCTCAAACCGCATTGAGGCCCTCCCCGCCGCACCAATCGGCCAATCACACGCGCTGCCACAGCTGCGCGTCACCCCCGGCCGACCAATCAGCGTGCAGCACGCCGACGCATGCGCCACGCACACCACACTGCCGAGGCATCATGGCCGCCACAAATGGCGATCACATGGAAATCCTGCCACGACCACGGCCGCCGCGCGACAGGCAGACTACCAGCAGCAGCGCGAAAATAAAAATACTAAGCAATACTAAGCACTAAGCATTCGTACTAAGCACGTTTGCGCCCTCACCGTCCGTGGCCAGTCCGCCCTCGCTGACCACCGCGCACCGGTCCGTTTCGCCATCACTCGCAATCACAGCTCCAAGGCTTCACCTTGATCTCATCCTTGTCGCCAATTTGATATAATGTGAGTTCTTTATTCCCAGCCTGCGATTGCGCGCCCACTTGGCGCACAGCCAACCAGAACACATCCACGCCCTGCGCGGGCCGGCGGCCGACTGCCGCACAACCGGCGACCGGTTTCCACCTGGCGGTCGCTAACTGAACTACGCGTAGCCAGGCTCACGATACAACACCCTCATTACCCCCACCGAAAGGGCTCCATTACCCCCAAAGGGGGCATGCCCCACCATTTGCCGAACCCTGATTTAGGTACATTATTTTATCATGCATTACATTACATTACCGTCACAGAAAGGCGAGGTACGGGGCAGCACCAGGCTTGACTAAATGCAAATAATAAGCTCCTGTTGTTTGACCGCTCGCATTGATACCCTAAACCATAAAAACACAAGCCGAGGGCCCACTTCATTCCGTCCCAGCTGCTTTCCGACTCACCGTCGCATGCTGGCCACGCTGTTGACGGCGTTGTGTACCCTGGTCAGTGTGAGCATGGCCGAGATGCTGGCCACGCCGCGGCCCTGGTCGCCCACCCGGTGTGCCACGGTGCCGTTCAGCTGCAGTTCGGCCGTCGGTAGCTGACGGGTGCCTGGCCAGCGAGATCAGCGAGACTGTTAGACCGTGAGGCGTGAGCTGATAACAGCCCCGTAGAGGTTACAGTGAGGGACCAGTACGTACGTAATCTATTGAAACAAATGAAGGCATGGTAATGAAGATAAGTAGGTATATAAATGAATCATCAAATCAAACGATGAAAGAAACAAAAGACCATCGGTGTGAACTGAAATAAAGGGTATGCACTTGCAAACTTCTCTCAGACATGAGCTCCGTCGCGGCCGGGGAGGATGCATCACACGATGTTTTTACAGTTATAAAAATTACGCCTATGTGGGACGTTTAAGAGAAATATTTGTCATTCTTTGTTCGTAATTGCCGCTCATCGCTAGTTGTCGCTCCATTTCCCTTCCAGCCATCAAGCTGTAGTAAAGCCACTACTTTAGCGTGCGAATATGAATGTAAATCTCGCCAACATCTTTCAGCACACTGGCGCCATTCTTGCGACATTTTTATAGCCCGAGAGCCAGATGCGGCACGCATACTTCCGTTTAGGTCACTCACGCACGCGATACACAGAGCAACGGTCGAAACTAAATGGAATTCGAGCTTTCATGGATTACATGACATAATCCGCAGCACTGAAGAAAAATTTACATTATGCTAACTGAAGTGGCGAGGCAAACACATCCCTGTCGCACGTGTTTGAGCATTCCTTACTGGGGGGAAGGGGAAAAGAGTAATTACGCGATTTGGTTTCATCAGCTGACAAGAATGGTAAAACTCAGCCTGAACTGAAGTCGCCAAATAAGGACCCGGCGGCCTCGGACCCGGCTAAACGCAGCTAACACCAGTGGTGCTTACCGAGTTTGTTCTTTAGACGAACTACCTGCATATTGTTTAGCTTGCCGTCGGGACGTCGCGTCTCTAGGAAATACATGCTCAGGCCTCTCGAACCCTGGCAAAGAGAACCAACTGTGTATCAGCCCGTTCCATACAATTTTAAAAAGCGCTTCTGATGCGGGTTGCCCGAAAGAATAATAATATATAATAGGTAGTCATAATTCGGTAACAAGTAAATACATAATAATAATAAACGCTTATATTACTTCAATGTCGTAAAATATAAACAATTCTGCCGTACAAAGTCAACACCGATTACGTTCGGGTGACCTCTGGCCTGAGTTAGTGACCTCTGACCTGACGTAATTGTTTTTTCCTTTGCGTGGCAAAATTAGGCCGTAGGTCAGCGCGTGAAAAAAATCACTACAAAGCAGAAAATTAAATCTCCATTTACATTAGCATCAAAGGAATATTTCATTGCGTGAGTTACATGAGGAACTACCATAATTTTACCAATTTTGAGAGTTGAAACGAGATTGAAAATTTTTGACAGCCAAAACAGAAAAATGTAGTTTCGTTGATTTGGTAAAAATGGGTCGCCCAACGGCAATGATCCTTTAGCATAAAAATATCCTGTGCATCACGCCACACGTCCTATACTTAGGCACTGGGTCTCCAACAAGTCATTGTAACAATTACTCCATTGACAAAAAAAAACGACATAAGGGAAAGGAAAACTGATGTCTGTGCTGTCAAATCTCGCTTCTAGTCTGTGCGACCGCGCCCACCAATATTTACAAGCAAGTGGACAAAACACCCAACACTAAACATTTTTGATGGCTTGTGTTGTGATATGATGTGATGTGGTGTAATGTGATGTAAGAGGTAAAAATCAACTTCAAAACATTTGCCGGACCCTGTAGATGGTGTCGGCCTCGGTCTCTCTTGATGCGTTGGCTAGCTCGTTCGGTACCTATATATGCATGAATTCGCTCATTTGGGAAGCATGTTTGTATGCTGATTTACATTCTGTTCAGGTGTTAAAAGTTGAGCACGTATCTTCTATTGTTTCCCTGGTAATAGCGGTTCGACCACTCACGCCCCTCGTCAGGCCTCCGACCGCAGGCTCTGTTTATACAAAGCCGCCTGGCCTTCTCAGTTCGCCCGTCGGCACTATGGCGAGTGGCGGCGTGGTGCGGCTCTCTGCCGAGCACATTCCCTCGCTGGTGTCCCGGCTGGCCAGCTATGGCGCCCTCAGTCTGCAGACGCGCACCGTGCTCCGCCTGCTGCGCGCGCGCATCAACCCGGCGCCGTTCCGGTTGTTCGCTGCCGGCACCGAGGGCGCCGACCTGGTGACGGTGACGGCCATGGAGATGACGCCCGGCCGCGCCGTGCTGGACGTCTGCGGCCCGGAGAGCTCGGCCGGCCGGCAGCGGCTCGACAGCCTGCTGCGGGCGCCCGAGCTGGCGGAGCTCTGGCGGCGGCCAGTTAGGGTCGAGTTCATCGCGGAGGGCCTGACTGACGTTCTCCGCTCGGTCGCCGAGAGCTACAGCCTCCGATGGATCGTCGATATGAACGAAACGTTTCGGTTGTTCGTTCGACCGGACCATCTGTCCGTCCCGCCGCCGGCCCACCGGCCCGGTCTGGAGGTCCGCTCGCTGGAGAAGCGCCACCTCGCCCTGGTGGAGAACCGCTGGGGATACAGCCGTGACCTGATCTGGGACGTGTCGGCGATGATGGAGGCCGGTCAGCGGGCCGGCCTGGCCGTAGGAGTGTTTCTAAAGGAAGGTGACGAAGCGCACCCAGATACTCCACTAGACGAGCCGGTCGCGTGGTCGCTGGTGAACGCGTACGGTGCCACGGGCTTCGGCTACACGGAGCCTGCTTTCCGCGGTCGCGGTCTGCAGATCATGGTATTACACGAGCTGGTTCGCCGCTCAAAACAATTGGGACTGCCCTTCTTTGGGTACACTAAAGATTCGAACAAACCGGCCATATATAATTTCCTCATGTGTGGTATGGAAGCGAAATGCGTGGTGATTGGTTGAGTGCTTTGTTACTAGAGTCATTTAGAGTTAGAGTGTCAAGAGACTGACTCGCACCATACCGACTGACCAAGTGTACGTGTGCTCTTTTATTAAACAGATGTATTTCATCATGCCCCATGACTTCTTCGCCATGATTTAACCATGCCCATCGGTTTTAATGATTGCACTTCTATAAACGAGCATGCATGCTGAAGCAAACATTTGGTAGGTAGGTATTTAGATATGTACGTAATGAAGTTCAGCGACATGAAGTAACGTCGATAGCATTTTCAGAGCACGATAACACTTAAGTGGTAGGGTTTACTGGTATTAATTTTTCAAAGCAGGAACACGATAAGACATCATTCCAATGCACAGTGGGGATTTTTTCCGATCTAGCACGTCTTCATTCGTAGAAGGCAAACCATAGGTAGCATTGTAGCCAGATTGTGCACAGATGTTGGCTGGTGTGTCCTGGTGAGAATTTTACCTGTAAATTTGCATAATCAACATAGTATAGGGAGTTCAATTGGACCCCCGGCTCAGCCGTTTGGCCCCTGAGCAAGCTAGAGCTTCGCGGAAAAATCAAGCGTGCTGCCTATGACGAAATGAGGCCGAATATATCCAATTTCAAAGTCCAAGGTCATTAACTGACTTTCCAAGACAGTTTAATGACCCAACTAAAGTTGGGAAATCGAGACCTCTTGAAACTTCGCAAAGTTAGGATGCTACGGGGTATTTCAGGGTGCTGATCACGAATTTCATGTTAGTTTTGATCACAGACGATGTCTTTATGCATTTAGGCCAGGTCGGGTCAGGTTAGGTTAAATCAACCAGTAGGTGTCCTGCCGGCCATCCATAGTAGGTGTCACCTACTACTGATAGCTTCGTAACCTGGTACGAAGGCACCAGAACTACTTCGTAAATATTCAAATGGCTGCTAAATTCGAAATCAGCACCAAAAACAACCCAAGAAACAAGTAAAACTCGAAAAAGTGAACCAAGGTCATCAAAAGGTCAATGACCTTGACTTGACCTTCACGTGACCTTGACACCCACCATAATGCATGGCACTAACATCATTTCACATATTTGAACGTTTAAAACTACAAATAGACTGGAAACCGTGGATAATGTGAGCTGGCATACGCCGAATCGCGATTCCGGCCAAACATGGTCTCGAGAAATATGCCACAGGTCAAAGGTCAGTTGGGTCAGAGTCATAAAATTTTCAGGTTAGATGTAAAATTGATTATCTCGAGGGCACCGAAAGTTTCGTCGCGATCGGCCGCTTTTTGCGCGAGTAATTTGCGGAAAACCATGGGGTTTTATCCGACCCCTTCCCCCTCCCCCTCCCCACAAGTGCGATGGTTAATAAGGTTACGGTATGTATAAATTTACGCTTGTCATCCTATTCCTAATGAATATGTCTCAGAAAATATGCATCATATAAATCACGAAGTAAAATTATTCCCCTATGTCCGGAACATACCTATATCGTGCTGTTTGCCCTAGCGCTCCTCGAGTGGGGTGTTAAGATACTCTAATGTGAATATTCTGTGTTCAGGCAAGTTTCGGCAGCCAAACTAGGCGTAGTCTTGTGCAGGAGAAAGTGGCGAATTCGATAGGATATATTTCGGAGTGGATAAGTGTGGAGAACATTGTTGATTTCCTACATTTATTTAGAATACCATTCCATCAATATGGTGTCTGTAAGGGTTTTTTTTGTAAATGGCATTTTTGTGACCTTAGTAAGGTTGTGGCATAACTGTCTGCCACTTTCTGTTACTTTCTGTCTGCCATTCCATTCCTAATAAAGGTGCCTTTCAGAAGATATGCAACTTTAAGACCTCGCAAGATTAAAACCAACAGGACAGGACAATGAAATTGAGCTGTACTTTCGGGCCTTGCTGAGCCAATTGAGTAATCACGCATGAGTGTGAACTTTGGGCGCATTTTTCCTAGTTTTGCTATGGACATACAGATAAAACAATGCCACATATGAAAAATTAAGACATTTAATTAAGACATTAAGACATTATTTTTTTGCCCCACTGACACAAAAAAAAAATAAACAAAAATCCAAAAAAGATTTTTGGAATTAAGAGGCGCTAGATCGGAAAAAATCCCCACTGTGCAATGGGGCAAATGATAGCCTAATGGCGGGAGCGCTGCAGCCTGCCTTCTAAGGAAGCTAAAGGCCGAAAGCTCAAACAAGCAGAATCATTAAAATTCAGACATCGTTGCTTGACATGCGGAAGAGTATAAAACAATAATGATTAAGATGAAAAACACATGTATTTTTAGTGCAGGGCTTTACCGAACCAATAAACAAATCACGACTCTAAATTTGCATGCCTTACGTGACATTTAACTCTGACCTAAAATCCAATAATATAGAATCTATCTCACCGGTACTGGCTGGCCCTGCTCGTCGAGACTGCGTGCCAGACTCAGACTGACGTCCGAGTCGCTGGCGGACGAGAACCACTTGTAGCCGTAGAGGCGGTAGGAGCCGTCAGGGGCGGGGACGGCCACGGTCTCAGTTCCTCCCCCGACGTCCGAGCCACCTGGTAATGAGCGGGCGCTAATGACAGGACAACAACGTGAATGCCTCCGGGCTCTGACAGTAAATAAATTATATATGTAGGGTATTCTGCTCAAGAAAACCTCACATAGACTCAGCTTCGCACGTTCGGAACCAAGTAACAGCTGACAGATACTGTATTCAGGCTTGGAGAAGACTGCCAGGTAAGCGGCTGAGCTATGCAATCAAAAAATCAAAGACATCAAAATCTCCTGTCTTAGATTCACAGCAACACAACTGTATGTAATCACCGGTGATTAGCCTCATTACCATCTCTTTGCTGGTAAGATAGCAATTGGCCTGATCAGAGTGCATCTACAGTCCTCGAATATGGATGAAAGGGTCCGTAACCTTTGCAATTTTAAGCCGACGCTCTAGGCAAGGGCAGGACGCAGGTCGGCTTCCCCGGTCCCAGATGCTGCATAAAACGTAACCGTGAACCGGGTTTATGACATTGAATAATATTGTATTCGCTTGATTCAAATAACACGTACCTCGTTTCTCTGTCATCCACTGACCGGACGTCCAGAACTTATCAGGGCTCGCCGAGCTCAGGCGTTCAAAAGCCGTGGCCAATTCAGGAGAGCGGAAGCCCTGTCAAGGGAAGATAGGTGAGTGGTTGGTACCTGTGCATTAAGTAATTGAGCTGTTGACAAATCACAAAGTAAACGATTCAAACATTGTAAACGTTCAAGTGCCTACATAAAAACGCACATTCCACGCAAACACTGGAGTCAAAAATGGGAGAAATGAGGCAAAAAAAAAAACACCCTGTTTAACGTATCACCAGGTTTAAATGGTGTTTAGAAAACTCGTTACAAAAGAACGTTGGAACAACCTCTCCTCAAAACCAGAGGCATACAAACTGCAATCGGTATGTCATTTTGTTCGTTGGGCAAACACATGGTGGTCGGACCCACCTCGAGTGTCTTGGCCGCCCCGTCCGTCATGGCTAGCGGGCAGGCGAAGAGACCTGACGAGGGACTGAACAGGTACACCTTGGCCATCTGGTAGACGCGACTGTGCTCGGCGTACCGTCGGCGGTAGGCCAACTTTATCAGCTGCTCTTCAGCAGAAATATCCTTCATCTTCTTCCAAGCATGACAGGTCACTGATGAGAAAACGACAGCTTCTAAGTTAGCACCACATAATAGCATTCAGAAACCACAATATGACAGGCATCGGACTTTGCATCCAACATCAGAATTTGCAAGGACTAAGGAGTGAATGACATCACGATTCCATGTGCTTGAGGTAGGTAGTCCTAAATCAATTCCGGTGCAAAAACAACAGCCTCGATTGTTCCAATATTATTGATAAATTATGATGGTGAGGTCATGTGACCGACATCACCTCAGGTGGCCTCTCCAGGTGAGAAATAGGCATCCACATATCTACAGTTATCTAAATTGTGTATGTGTATGTATTGTGTAGGTAAGTGTTGATAAGCACATTCATACCCAGCCTATCGATGCGCTCGCCCCACGCATTAAAAACATCGAGTTTTGGTGGGTTGAGTTCACAGTCTTCTCCAAGTTTGTAGATGTCAGTCGAGCAGCGACCGCCAAAGCGCTCCAAGTCACGGTTCACAATGTTGAATACCTGAAATAGTTAAAAAGCATCTTAACAGTAGTAACTTTTTTAAACGCATTTAACATTTTAGCGCAATTGTTTATACAATATTTCTTTCTTTCTGAGACATATGCAAAAACATCTAACTGTAGTTTCCTGTGAAAACATTCAGTCACAGATAGGTATCAAGTGATGAATAGATGAATAGTAGTGATGAACGGATGAGATCATTGCCTCACAGTCACAGGTCGACCGACAACTGTCTGAACTCTTTATGAACTGCTCAGCCGGCCATCGCCAGGCGTACCTCAGGTGGAAGCAGTCGGCGCAGGTATTTGACGAGCGTTGGGTCTCCACGGTAGGTGTTGGTAAGCTGGTATGGTGGCTGGGTGAAAGAGCTAGAGTTCTCGTGGACAAAAGAGGCCTCTTCATGCTTGAATTCATTAACGTACGAAGACGTTGAGAACAGACGTGCCACAAGAGGTCCACTAAGTTGCCAATTTTTTAGAGCCCCAGCAAAGTTTCTGGCACTTCTTCCTTGTAAGAACATTATCATGCAAACCACAGATCTGAAATGAGTGGTTCACCACAATTATATCTTTATATCTATCACTAACACAAGAACTTTTAGCAAAAAAAAAAAACAAGCTCATTCAGAATGCTTCCCTTTAATTTCGATCAAAAATTCTCACATTATTTCTTCTTGAGCTGCCAGACCCAGACAGTAAAACTCGCAACATGCTTACTTCCACTATGTCTATGAGATAAGCTTTGTTACACAAACTAAAATTCTGCAGAAACAAAAAATGCAGAAACTTACAGAATGGCTAGTCTAAGATTTTATTTTTGTAGCATATAGCACAGGGTTACAAGCAGGGGTGAATACAGGGGGCAGGGGACCACTGGGCCATGACCCCCCGCCCCCTTGGGCGCCGAAGGCGCCCTCCAATCCCTCTGTGTTAACATGGAAAATGTGGTTGGAGAGCGCCCTCGGGCGCCCTACAGCTGTTTTTGTAAACTGTAGCACTCTGATCGTAACGGTAGTCGCCAATCTAAGACTGTTGATCGCTACCCTCCTTCCCACTGCACTGACGTCCTCATGTTTGATTCGCATGCTTCTACCTATTGGCGCACTCCTATAAATCGGCGCCCCCTTTAACCCGCGCCCCACTGGGGTCTGCGTATAACACGCCCTACTGAGCTAAATTCGACTCAAAATGACCTCGAATGACACAGACGACATCAAATTCGAAATCTTTGGCCTAAATGGACCATAAAACATGTGTCACGTGACCGACGCATGACATAATATTTTCGTGACCTGTGATGACCTGACCTTGACCTGAAAATCAAAGTACAAGTTTGGTACACTCAGGGTATCTAGAGCATCTGTTCACGAGTGTGTGAACCAAAAATGAGCCTGATCTGACTTTTAAGACGGCGGCCAGAGCCCAAAACGTGAAGAAGCCAAAATGCTAATAATTTTTACTTTGACCTGACCTGTGACGTCATCGGTGACCTCGAGGTCAATGAAATTAGGTTTCGCTCGACAGTTTTGCCGGGGCTATCAGACGCCGTTTGAATTTTGACGATCGGCCCAGTAGTTTCGGAGTTAGGAGGGGGGCTATAAATAGCCCCCCCCCCCCCCCAGTGGGGTGCGGGTTAACTCTTACCCAAAGGCGCCCTCCTGTAGGTCGTCGCCCTTCTACCCATTGGCGACCTCCTGTTAATCGCCGCCATCCTACCTTTTGGCGCCTTCCTGTCGATCTCTGCACTCTTAAACACTCGCACCGACGGGGGTCTGCGCCAACTTCGTACCGACGGGGGGGGGGGCGGATGACCGCCCCCCCCCCCCTGAGATCTCGAGAACGAAGCAAGATAGCGACAAGCGGTAAACGGCATCGGATACGCACGGACAAGGTCTACAATTTTTACAAAGGTCATTTTCAGGTCAGGTCAAAGATGACGTCACAGGGGTCGAAAAAGTCAAAATGGCGGCGCTAGATATGGAGAGTTTTTTTTTATCAAATAACTTTCGAGTTAGTCATGATAGGAACAAACTAAGGGCATCATCGTCATCCTCTCGTCAATCCGCATCGAAAAATATATATCTTGACCTCGAAAGGTCAAGGTCAAAGGTTGACCTCAGGTCACGTGACCTCGAGGTCATCATGTATATCATTCGATGCGTCTTGACGAGCTGAACACAATCCCAGTAAACATGCCGACGTCGGCCCGACGTCGGGCCGAGGCTCGGCCCGACGTCGGCCCAACGTCGGTTCAACCTCGGCCCGCATGTTCCGACGTCCAGCCGAAGTCCAGCCGACGTCGAACCGACGTCGGGCCGAGATTGTTTGCCGAGGTTGACGAGATCGTTTGTCGTTGGACCGACGGGGCCGACGTCGGCATGTTTATTGGGACAACGCGCCAAAAATATCAACCGGGTGCGGGATTCGAGTCCCCCAGTCGCCGACGTCGGCATGTTTACTGGGACAACACGCCAAAAGCATCAGCCGGAGATGGGATTCGAACCCCGTGTCATTCGAATGCGAGGTTAGTGCGCTAACCACTACACCACGCAGCCATCTAAATACCTTGGTTTGTTTTGTTGGGTTATGCCCTTTCGGTCTGATAAGACCATTTCAGACCCGGAAGGATCATAGGATGGAGACATTGGTCTTCTTGGCGAGCACCCTGGGTCCAGTTCATATAGAGTCCCTGGTGGCTGGTCCCATTGCTGTTACGTGACACTTATTGGAAAGGGCGACCCCACAATGGATTCATATAGCCACTCTTACACACCTGCGTCCTGCACCAACGTTTCCCGAAGTGTCTGTACTGTGTTGTACCTACTGTGTACTGGCAGCGCTGATCTGTTTCGCCGGCTCGCTCATGTTGGCGCGCGCGCAGGCGGGTCAAAGTTCGGATGTGCCGGCGGCCGGCAGCGGCGAAGGCCATCTGCAGCGGCCGCCGGGCAGTGGGGGTCAGGCGGAGGGGAGAATCGGGTTTGCGCGTCGTTCGGTGTGCAGGTGCCGACCGCGGCAGTGGAAATACAGTTCCGGCTTACAGTGTCCCTTTGATAAGTGGCACTTTGGCAAAGTGACACTTGCCGACTGGCCTTTCTATATGAACTGGGCCCGGCCCTGGTGAGTTGCCGGGGCTGAGCCTGACCAAAGGATAGGTCGAGCAGCCCCCAAGCACTCACCGCACCCGGCTACGGGTGAGCTCGGCTTACGGGCAATCCCAAATGGGAATGGGATAAAGTTTCCCGTCCAGTCCGGATCAGGGGGTTGCGGCGTGGAGGAAGATTTGAGTTTCCTGAGGATATTTTGAATACAGAAGCTCTTTATGAAACATGAAACATGTATTTTATATTATTTTAACGGTCAAAACAGCGGCCGATGTCGGTCCGACGTCGCCCCGACGTCGGCTGGACCTCAGCAATTGATCTCGGTCCGACGTCGGCCCGACGTCGGCTGGACCTCGGCTGGACGTCGGAACATGCGGGCATATCCGACATCCAGCCGACGTCGTGCCGAGGTTGGACCGACGTCGGGCCGACGTCGGCATGCCGATGCCGAGTTGCCGACGTCACCCCGACGTCGGCCGACGTCGGCATGTTTACTGGGATGAGACCATCCACGCGGCTGTATCTTGTTCCTGTACGGAGTTATTGGCCAAAAACCTTTGATGACGTCACATGACCTTACAGCTGCCCAACAGCAAAACAGACCTCAAGCCTCAAGGTAGTGAAGGTTGATCATATATGAAGTCATGTATGGTATATGGTGCCATTCCGACCCGTTTTAGTGGTAAAAACAGGGAGTTGATTTTTCCCCCATTGACTTATAATGGGGAGGTCGCGAAATTGACCTGACCTTAGGTCACCGATATCAAATTTCCGAGATATGCAAATTGTAGCTACTAATGACCTAACAACATCCTGCGACTTTCAAAGGCCTCCGACATCTACTGTAGCTCTGGCACGGTGACAAAGTTGCAAAAAAGTGACTTAGGTTGGGTCATTCAAAGTGACCTGGTGACCTGACCTTAAAAGGTAGGAAGGTCAAACTTGCACACCATGTGTAAAATTGATGAGGGAATAGTCGTACCAAAGCGCCGCGGTTTTCCCGCTATTTGTGAAAAACCTCAGGGGGGGGGGGCGATATCCGCCCCCCCCCCCGTCGGTGCGCGTGTTAACCCGCGCCCTGCTGGGGGTCCTGGATTTCCACGCCCTGCTGGGGGGGGGGGTGTTTGAACACCCCCCCCCCCTTGTAACTCGGCTCCTGGGCCACGTAGCGATACGCGGAAGGCGGCGTTCGAAAGAGCGTCAAAAATAATGACGAAATCACTTCGGTCAATTTTTTGGTCAGGTCAAAGGTCAGGTCACCAGAGGTCATTGAAGGCAAAATTTCGCCGATTTCCAGGTCGAATGTCGAAAATTTCCAAGAAGCCAACGCATAACTCGGGAACCAATAGAGCTACAGCGCCGCGGAAAAGCGCATTCGATAGCCCTATTAACGCCCTTTCTGAGTAATTCTCTCAGATTTGACCTA